GTTGAGATCTGGCTTGCTACCCATCTCTCTTGCCTCTGCAAATATATCCAGAGCCTCCTGGAGGTCATGGTCAAATCCAGGAGATTCCAGATCATGTAAATTATCTTCCTTATATTAAACCTTTGGACGTGGTTTAGTGGGCAATATTGGTGGTAGGTGGATGGTTGGACTGGATGATCTCAGAGGTCTTTTCCAACCATAATGATTCCATGATTACCCCACAGTGTCTCAAGAGATTGTAAGAATGCTCGTGGCTGCAACATCCCCTCTCCAATATGGGGTTTGGATAGAGCCCAGACCTGGTAATAGCTCTCCTCCAAACAGGAGGAGGTAAGAGCAAAATTCCTATTATTAGATACTCTTTTTTCTCCCTTTTTCCTTGCCCTGTTGGCAGGACAAAGAATGGCTTCCAGATTGACACCGAGTGAATGTGGCCACTCGTAATCACTGCCTGTGAGCATTTATCACTTCCACAGATTAGAACGTGGGGAGCAGGTGTCTGACCTGCGATGACAACAACGTGAAGTGGTGGTAGGGAGGAAGGAAATAGATAAGATGTCATTTTTCAGCACAGTTTTTCTCCCTTTAATGCGCCCCTAGATTATGGGAAACAATCACAGGATGCGGAACACCGGTGTTTTATGGTGTCAGTAGGGTTTAAGGTTTTAGGTGGGGGAAAAAAAAAAATGGTGTTGGATTCTCTATATTATGGAGTATTTATAGCACACACTAAGTTTTTTTAAAATTTATTTGCTTGGGACAAGAAAGATAAATGGGGTTCTGTATCCTCGTGTTTTTATCCAGAGGAAATTAAAAGGAGTAGAGTCCTCTTGAGCTTGGCCTCCACTTAGGGCAGAGAAATGACACAGAAATGACCCTCCTTAGATTAAAGACCTGCTCATGCCTTGAAGGAGGTGGTAGAAATCAGTCTGTGAAAAGAAACCGTTTCCTCCTTTTGTATTTTCCTCTTCTCCTTAACTCTATATTTTTCTCACTAAAGGTACCTCAAAGAAAATAAGAAACGAAACAATTTTTCTTTGGTGTCTTCTACTCTTAAACACTCCTTTTGTGACCTATGGGTGCTGCTTCAAAGCTGACTTCAATTTTTCATCGCTGAACATATTTTAAGATGGATGCTGAAAGCAGCTCTAACTTTCCCAATCTGCAGTTTGGAGTTTAAAACCTCATTTCTCATCTTAATAACGGTAATTCTGCTCTGAACTGCTTTGCTTGGCAAACGTCTTGTGCATTTAAACATCACAACATCACGAGGTCAATGAGTAAAAACTGCTGGAACTCAGATCCAGTTCTTAAATATTGCATGGATCCAAGCTTTGAAACCTCATTGGAGATCCAGTGTTGCAATTTGGGGTGGGAAAAGGGAAGCTGAGGGGAGAGGGGGGATGCAGGGGATCACAATGAATATGAAAGAGATGCTCATCCTCACACCTTCAGCTTCTCTGCTCTGCCTGCTGGGCAGTGCTTTGTTGGTTAATGCAGCAGATAAGCACTCAAAGATTCTTCTTCCAAATGATCTTAGTGTTGGAAAAATATGAAGGCAGGAGGGAAGGGTTTCCCTACCACCCACACTTGAGAACAGCTTCTGCAAGGATTGATTTCTCCCCTCTGATGTGGTTGACTGCTGCTATGTAACCCTAGGTAAGAGTTGGAACCAGAAGCCACTTACAATGGGTCTCTATCTTCTTGTTAAGAGGAACCAAACTAGATTTTTCTTCTCTGCAAATTTCCAACCAGTGCACCTGTAGCACATCTTGACTCTTGAATCGTTAAGGTTGGAAAGACTGCTGTCATCAAGTCCAGTCCTCCATCACCATACCACTAAACCGTGTCACTTAATACAACATCCACCCTTTTCTTGTGCATCTCCAGGGACAGTGACTGCCACCTCCCTGGGCAGCCTGTGCCAGTGCATCACTGCTCTTTCTGAGAGGAAATCCAACTTGAACCTCCCTTTGTGCAACTCTAGGCCATTCCCTCTCCTCCTATTGCTGTTTTTTGGGAGCAGATGCCAACCTCCACCTCATCACAACCCCTTTTCAGAGAGTTGTAGAGAGCAATAAAGTCTCTCCTGCTCCTCCTCATCTTGTCCAGACTGAGCCATCCCAGTTCCCTCAGTCACTGCTCATAAGACTTGTGCTCCAGACCCTCTACCAGTCACAGTGTCCAAGGCCAAATGCCAGCATCCCCAGTGCAAAACAAACCTCATTCTTGCCAGCCCTCCAAGGATCCTTTTTATGCTAAGGAACAACCCATGGGGAAAGTAGTTTGCAGCTGAGAGAGGGAGGAGCAGTGTCTCAGGGATGCAAGCCTTCCCTGAACAGAAGAAAAATCCAGTGAGCCCCTGTAGCAGCAGAGGGGGTGGGGAGGGGAAACTACAACGATGTGCAGGGATTGCCTCTGTGTGCACCCACTTCTCTCCTGAGCAAGCAGAAGCACAATGTGTGCAACAGCACAGCCCCTCTGGTCCTCGACGTGCTGCGTTGCACCTCCGTGCCACCAGGTGATCTCTGCAGGGTCAGATCAGCTCCCAGAGCACAGCTCTCGGTCGTTGAAGGTCGAGCTGTCAGAAGTGACAAGGGGGAAGAAGAATTTAGAAGCACGCCTCCTGTCCTTGCTGGGATGATCTTTGATAGAAATGCTATGGGAGGTTTTTCATATCTAAATACAAGTAAGGATAAAATTTTGGAGGTGGTGGCAATGAAACCAAGGATTTTTTTTTTTGTCTCTGCCTATACCAACCTTCTGGCTAGCAATCTGAATAGAAATAATAACTCAAAGGGGAAGATGATTGAATTAAACAGGCAACAAAACTGCAGGAATAAGACTTCTGATGAAGGAGAGTGGCTTGGGAAAAAGTAGAGGAGGTGGCAGGGAAAAGCAGCGCATCTCTTTAAATTGTCAATCTCTCAGGGCAAGGTTGCTGCAGACATAATGAGTGTCCTAGTGAATTATCTCCCACTTTTATTGTCTGTTGCTACCATGGAAAGATGGGGAGGTGGGGAAACTAACTTTTTTTTTTTTTTTTTTTTTTTTTTTGAATTTGGACAGACTTAAAGAAGTGGCATCAAATTTGAAGGGCACCCAATCAATCTGTTGTCCTAGCTGCATGAAATTGTATTTCCCTGCCACTTCATATCTTATTTGCAGCAGCTGGGCTGTAAGTCATTGGTGATAACATTCTTTATTATGCAGCCGTGTTTATGAACTGTGCCTGGAAAGAGATGATAGAAATATGCAGCAATATGCAAAGGGGGGGCTGCTGGGGGAGGGGGAATAAATGCTAGTTGCTAGGGCAACCGTGGGGCTATTTTGGGCATCAAATTTTACAGATGATGAAAAGCATTTTCATGTGATGGTTGCTCTCTCTGGGAAGAGAAGGGGAGAGAGGGCACACAATAAACCAGGAAGATAATAGTCAAGAAGGCAGTCATTTAATTCTTCTTTTTTTTTTTTTTGGTATATAAATAGATGTATAGTTTCAGCTATCCCAAAAGCACATTAAAACCAAAGGAGTTGGCACCAGCAAAGGAGAGGGGTTTGGAATGACCACATAGGCAATGGCGTGCTGGCAGTTTGGAGGCTCTCCCAAAGGAGTGGCTCTTGGGCCACTGTCCTCAGGCAAAAGTCTCCAGCCTGGAGCAGCTGAGGTGTTTCCCTCCATGCATATGGGATGGCTGCTCTTCCTCTAGCTCCACTGTGGTGATGCTTCTTTTAATTAGGTTTTGCTGGAATTGTGTTGGCTCTGAAGAACAACCAACGTAGGAGCGCTGTTTGTTGTTTGAGTCACTCTTAAAATCCTTGGGATTCTGCATACGTTGGGCATTGAGCTGGGTAAAATGAACAGCAACTGCTTGCAGCCTGAAAGCTCTTTCAACTCCAACATAACGTGACTCTTTTATTGCTCTGAAGTTGTGTTTTTAATTAAGCAGTTATCAGTAGCGGTGAGATTCTTCTCGAATAATTAAATCAAGGTAGTTTAGTGACTAATTGTGAAGCGAATTGCTGAGACCATAAGGCTGCTGTTGAGACAGCCTGTTTTCTTTCAGAAAATGAATCTAAGTGATGTGTGCAGCTTGGAAAGTAGAGCACTCTGCTGGATAACAGGCATGCTTTGTTTCTTAGAACTGCATCTTTCAAATTCCGCCTCCCTGCCTTTCAGTTTGCTTCTCCACAAACACGCTTTGCTGCTTTGTTGTTTCTTTTTCACCTGCTGCCCTGCAAAGCTCAGTGTGGAAGGCTGCAAAGGCAGCCTGCAGCAACCTGGTTACCAAACATCACCATGAACCTGTGATGAGATCCTGTGTGTGCATGGAACAGGACTTTCTAGTTGGGTTTTCCCAGCTGCTGGCCCAGGCTGCTCTGAGCCAGCCCTGTTCCTTGCATCCCAGTATTGAACGCAGAGGTTTTGTTGTTTGCATGCCAAAGTGGGACATAGATTGCTTGCTTGTCGTGTAGAGATTCTCTTGCTGTTGTACATCTTAGATTTAAATAGCCAGTGAATATCTGCTGTCCTATTAATTAGTATTTGTCAGGAAAGCAAGGGGAAATCCCATGCATAAACCCTGTGTGCGTGCAGGCATACAGCCCCATCTGTGACATCAGTGTCCATCCACGTATTGCTCAGCCTTATTGAAACACATCTGGGTAGTGTTGGATGTCCCATTCATGACTCTTTGTTACACCTCACTAGCCTGCAGCCTGCCGTAGGGATGTTATTTCTTGTTCTAGGTAATGATGTGAAACTCTGGCTTTAGCACCATCCTGACTCTCTGCTGGAGGTGGTACTGTTAGGGAAGTATCAATTCCTCAGCGTCTTTTCATTCCTGCTGCTGCCTTTGGGACTTGGGCCACTGGGCCTGAAGGATTTCCTATAGCACAAAGAGCTGAAGCCATCTGTGCTCTATCCTACAACAACCAATGGTACAAGCACAGGAGTGAGATTTGAGAATAACACAAATTCAATGTTTTTGTTTTCTCAGGACATGGAAGCTTCTGGCTCTGAATTTAAACCTGAAGACAGTCGAGATGTCAGTGACAGACAGGTCAGTCTCTTGGATTTAATTGTTTTTTAAATGAATAACTAAATTGTGCTGCTCACACTGATTGTGTCCACACCTTCTGCACGCCCTGTTTTGCAAAAATGAATCCTTATCGTTGCTGAGATGTGTTATGGAAAAGGTACCAGACCAGGCTGATGTTTTTGACTTGGAACTCAGTTTCAGGATGGGCACGAGCTCTGTGTGAAGCAATTTGGTGTCAGATATGGAGGCAGATCAAGGCAGATTGGTTTGTGTGAGCCTGAGGGTGCAAATCCTGCAGGAGATCCTGCACTCGTCCAGATCTCTGACCCCACTGCCTTTTTGTGGGGAACAAAGGGGAGGCGTTCTATGACACTTGGTGTGATCTGCAGATTCCTTCTGGAGTAGGGCAAGTGTTCAAAAACAAACAAACCCGCCCTGCAAATATTTGTTTAAATGTTCCGCTTTTACAGTTTATATTCCATTTGCATGTGGGATGGGGAAATGATGCATTTTAATCCAAACAGTGGAAATGAGAATGAGAGAGGAACCAGCAGATAAAAATGTGTGTTCTATCAGCCCGCTTCCAGATTTAGTTCTGTTTACATGCATATGTACTGTTATAACATCTTGTGTGTGCGTTTGCATATGTATATACACACATATATGTGCATTTTGGCCAGAATTTTATGTTGTCATAACCTAAGTGGCAGCCCCACACCTGCCAGCTCTCCAGCCCATGTTCCTGGTCAGATGCTTTCAGTGGTTGTTGCCCAATCTATTGAATCTATTGAAGTTTGGCTTTGTTTAACAGCCTTGGAAAGAGAAGTTCTTGCATCTGCATCCTATGCATGTCAAACTCAGGCAGGTAGGGTTCTTTAGGAAATCCTGGGATATGATGAGGAAAACACCAACTCCTGCAGAACGCCCATCTTTGCTGCTGCTTTTGGGATGCGACCCCCTTCTTGTCTGCCCACCCCATTCCCTGGAGCTGCAGCCCCCAGGGACCGTGGGCTGTAGGATCAATGCCCCAGTGATGCTCAGCACTCACAGCACAGCTTTGCCCACTGCTGGGCTCTGTCCTGCCTGCTCGAGCAGCCCTTCCCCCTGCAGGCAATTCAGAATTTCCTCTCCGAGTGTGCCTCCCCTCTTCAGATGTGCTGTACAATGTCTCTCCACTGGATACCCACTGAATGCCTAATTTTTAACCACTCTGGCTGTCAGATCCACAAAAGCTGTTACTGGAGGTGTTTGCATAAAAGAGCTCCACTATAGGTATCTGAGAGCAGCTGGCGATGCTCTAGACAGTATCCAGCAGTGCTGAGCCAGGCAGGATGCTTTAGTCTCCCTGGCTTAATGGTTATGTGCATTTTCTTAATGTACCCTCCCCCTCAATTGGCTCTTAAATTAGCATTCAGGATGTGTCCAGCCTAGAAAGAAACGAAGTTTGGAGGCTCTTCATTTCAGGCGAGGTTTGTGATATTATCTGAAACTAAAATCATGGCTGGGCTGGGTTCAGCACTGCAGGCCTGGCCATGGCTCTGGGATGAGGCGATGCCACTGTGGTTTTGTCTGATCTGATGGCATTCCCAGGCTACAGTTTAAGGAACTTTTTATGAGCAGAAGTCACCTGGGAGAAGCACTGGGCAATGGAGCCTCAGCACCACAGTGCCTTATGTTGGTGGCAACCTTTGGTGTTACTGCAGGCTTTGGGATAAGCTGTGATAATGATGATAACAGTGGAAAAACGCTGAGGGATGAGTTGCCTTGATGAGCACAGAAGCACAGAGAGGCAGGTCGTGTTTTGCTGTGGCTTACAGGGAACAAGCCACGTATCTCAGTGCTGCTGTTGGGCTCATGGGATGCTCAGAGGACAAAAAACTGCTACCAAAGTGAATATAATCAAAGAATAAGGGAAGACTGGATGTTAGAAATTAAGCTGTTATAAATTGAAGCAGCTCTGCTGAGCTCCTTGCAGTTACCCCAGGTGTTTGCAAATGCAACAGGGAGGGCTTGACTCTATTTTTCCAGCTGGTGATTGGCTGGAAAATGGCATTTTCTGCTACGTAAGTAAAAGTGAGTGGGGTAACTTTGTCATCAAAACAGAATATTTTATGTTGGAGTCTCTGTGTGTACTGTAAACCAGACAGACCTGTTGTCCTCTTACAGGCTTTAAATTACGCAGGCAAATGTAATTACCCATTCTCTTTGTTATTAGTGTGCAGCTAGGAAGCTCCGAGCTATCGGCCCTTTCTTGGTATTTCAAAGCTTTCTTACAAGATGCATCCTTGATATTGAACACAATGAGATGTCCTTTTTTTTTTTTTTTTTTTTTTTTTAAATTCAATTAAACATTTGCCTACTGTGACTCTTTATTCACTGCAAATTGTCTCTGTAAATAATCTTCATCAAAAGTCAGAACCAATCCCCATTAGTTGTTTAGATTAATTAATGAGTCCCCCTGGAGCCACCCAAATGAATTCAATTTAAACGTCAACAACTTGGCTATGGAGTTTCCCAGGTTGGCATTAAGACAATATTAAACCTGCAATAAGTCACATTTAAAATGTTAATTCAAAGAAGCTCTCCATTTAGAGCATTTAATTAAATCCTTAAATAAACTGCATGGGCTCAAAACCAGATGGTTCTGCATTTTCATTGCAGCAGAGAGCCTTGAAGTCATTGAGGGAAGTAATATTGGAGGCATGGTGAAGATAACCAGGATATATAGTGTAATAAAATCTAATCTTGTTTCCAGCAGGGAGATTCAGTGTATGTACACAACCTAGGCTAAAATTGTAAGTTAATTACATTAACCCCAGTGTACTCTGGTATCTGAGCAGCCAGAGATGAAATTAGTCTTTTTCCTATCATAAGATTCTTTTCAACTTCACTATATTAATTTTTAGCCAAATACTTACTCATAAGGAAAATTGAAGTTAATGTAACCAAAGACAAAGTAATGCAGTCTTAATATTCTGAAGGGATTACGGAGGGCCGTGAAAATACACTTTGCAAATGTCACTCACTTTGAATGGATTTGTGGTGGGAAGGTGGGGGGAAGAAGAATTATGGCTGTGATCCGCACCGCGCTGGGCTTTAATAAAAGTCGTGATTTCAGAAATTTGGGCCTGAGGAAGAGAAATAAATAACGTGTCGGGACCTCCGCCTGGGTGAGAGGTGGGGAGTCATCTCCTCCGTTCCGCAGAGCCGCGAGAGCTGCACTGAGGCTCTGCAACACAGGTTGCCCAGAGCGGCGGTGGTGCCCCATCCCTGCAGACAGCCAAGGGCAGGGATGGGCTGTGAGCACTGATGGAGCTGTGGGTGTCCCTGCTCAGGGCAGGGGTGGCACCAGGTGGCCTTTAGGGTCCCTTCCAATCCAACCATCCCGCGGTTCTATGCTACTGATACTCTAGAAGGTGATTCGGGTTAGGATGCTTCATTCTTCAGTGCTGTTTTATTTACTCCCAGTGGTTTGGTGGCAATATGGTGTTGTGCTTCCATTCTCTGAGTACCCGACCCTCCCCACGTGCTGCAGGTCCCCCTGCCTGGGGCTTTCCTCTATGGTGAGAAGGTCTTAAGGAATGAAAGTCACCGCAAGAAAATTCAGCTTGCTCCCTCCCCGTAAGCTGTAAAACAACAGCTGTTGTTCATGCGGCTGAAGGAGAGGAGTGACTTTTTTTTTTTCCTGTTAATAATCCAGAAAGCGGAATTCGATTCCCCCAAAGTATGGAGCTCTTCCGGTTGGGGAATAAAGCAGATGAGGGAGGAAAGCTGCCTTGCTTCAGTGGAAGTGCAGATCTGTGCTGTTTGGTGTTTCTGGGGGGCAGGAGCCCATGGGAACATAAGCAAAGTCAGTGGCACAGACTTCACATGTTTGATAGTGAAATGACATAGAGCTGGTGATGCTGCTCTGCATTCTGCTTCCACTGCGGCTGGGAGGACCTCCCCCCCCCCCCAGAGCTGCATTTCTTTGGAGGGGCTCTGTGCTGCTCCTTGCCCTCCCACCCCTCCCTGCCCCATCCTGCTGTGCTGAGGGATTCACCCTGCACCCCCAGTCCCTTCCTGTTGTTGTAGTGTCTGCATCATGCTGCCAGGATGTGGTCACCTCCTTCCTAGGGCCTCATGATGAGCCACTTGTGTGCTGGGTGCATGTGTGTGTGTGAGTGGGGGGGGAAGGGCGGAGGGTTGCTGCTCTATACTTCTTTATCTGGGAGGGCTGAAGGAGCATGGAGAGCTTCCTGTCCCTTGCTTTGAGAGGCCCCAGCTGAAATACTCTGGAAATCCCCTTGAATGTGGCCTCCTGCGAAAAAGTACTCGCTTCAACCAACCCCCAGAATAGCAAATCCCGAGTCTTAAAACTGGGAGATTTTCTGCAGTGAGGAAGACATCAGAAAACACGGGTGAATTTTCCCCATTCTCTCTTTTTACCTTCTCAGATGGTATTTATCAAAGGGCCACCTGTGCGCCAGCTGGTTGCTGCGCTGCAGGGTGCCTGGATGCTCACACGAGCATCTCCATGAGGAGCCCCTTTGAGCCTACAGAATGGGGAGCTTTGCAGGGATCAGACTGGGATGTGACTGAGAAATCAGACTTAGCACTTTCTTAGGCACTTCTAGTGGAGTAGGCTGCTGGTGGCTCCCCTTGCTCAGATGAAGATGCTGCTGTTTCCTCATGCTGGTGCAGCTCCCAGCCCTGGTAGCTCCCCATGGAGGACTTGCACTTTGTTGAGGCTTAGGCTGAGCATCGTGATTAAACATGAGTAATGCATTCAGAGCAGTGTGAATGTGCTGGCATCTCTATTAGTGTGAAGCAAACAGGATGGACAGGTGCTGGGAGAAGGATGCCAAAACTTTTCCTTTCTTTGGGATAGGAGAGCAGGGTGTGGAACGTGTTTGGTTGTGAGGAGCTGGACTTAAGAGCTGATTTGGTCATTAAGAATACTGCCCGATTTCATATTATTGATTAATGAGGATTCATTTGATAGTATTAGGCAGCTCTTTACTTATTAAAGATAAAAGCTCGCTGCCTCCAGTGCTGGTGTGCACTCTTCCCTTCCCTGCTCGCCCTGTGCCAGACTCTGCAGCGTGTTACCCCATATCCCACGGCTGGTGCTGGGCTGTTAGCTGATGCTGTGAGGGTACACAGCACCCACAAGGAGAAAAACAACAACTCCAGAACGCTCCTTCCATCACCCAGTAAGCTGTTTCCCTGGCAACACCAAGTTCTCACAGTGCGACTGCTCCAGGATCACCCTTCCCAGAGGTACCCCTGTGAGCTGCTCTGCTTGTAGGGCTGCGTGGTGGCAGTGGGGATGTTTGACATCAAACAGAGCTGGGCTGGAAGGCAGAGAGGAACATTGGTGTGGTCTTTTAAGGATATTTTCAATTCATATTTTTTTCCCATCTTCTGAACCCATCTCTGCCTGGTTTCCTTCTCACCAGATCTGGCATTTTGAACCCCTTCTCCTGCAGGTTTCTGCCTCCACATCCCTGCTAGGGGGTGATGGTGTGAATGCATAGTGGGCTGTTGCTCCAGGATGCTGGAAGAGGCGCTACAACTGCCACTCATTGTGCTGGCTGAGCTCCCACAGAGCTGGCACACTCTTCATTTCCTAACACCATTTAAAGTGCCAAAGCTGTACAAAAACTCACCCAGCCACACAGTCCTAACAGCAAGGCTCTGACTAACGAGTTACTGTGCATTTAGCTGTGCCTTTTCCTCCTCTGTTTGACCTATGCATGCATCAACTCCTTCCCTGGGCGTTACCCACTGAGCCATCACAACCTTTGGGAGGTTTTGGAGCAGCACCTAGCTGGTATTTACCTGCAATTTTCTCTGTTTGACTTCAGCAATCATGTTTGTCCTTTTCTCCACTGTTCTGCTGCTATATGAAGTGCTAGGGCAGGTTATATTTAAAGCCTCTTTTATTTCTGCAGGACAGGGATTTAAGAGTGTCTTAAAAGAGCTTGGGGCCGGGGAGGGCTTGCTCACCTCTTGGTGTCCACAGTAGCACTGCTATTATTTGGGAGCGTTCTTAAAATCTTCCCAGCTATTGGTATTTCATGGGTATTGGTATTTGTTTTTTTAAGCTTTAATGGTGCAATAGGAACAACGAAGTGGACACAATGTAGTACCAAGCTACCAACTACAGAGGCCTTGAGTAAATGGATGCCTAAATTGGTGGATTTGCTCTGTCCCACTCTGACCTGAGAGCAGTGTTTTGGTACAAAAAGGTTTTTAAGTGCAGCCATGAGTGGATGAAGGGCAGGGGCACTTGCCAAGAGAGTTCAGTCACAGCATTCAGCCTCTACTTCTGGCCACCCAACTTCCCATCCCCTGTGTTCCAGCAGAGTTCCTGAGTTTGCTCCTTTTTTCCTTAAAAGTAGAGTTCCCTGATGGAGATAATTCAGGATTGCTGCAGGTCTGCAGGAGCTGTGTATGATGTTTTTCACACAGGTGACTACTAATTTCCAACACAGTGGGTCTTGCCCACTAAATACTCCACAACCCCATGGTGCCTACACCACTACGAGGAGGGAGGATTTTCCAACACGGCTCTGCTGGCTCAGCTTTTCTCTTGGTGAAGTCAGTGACAAACCTCAGCCTGCCTCCAGGGCTCACAATGAGCTGCTGTTGTGTGCAGCTAAACCCCCCCCCACAGTGTGATGCACCCGGATGCTTTGCAGGTGCATTGTGCCTGTTGCCTAAACAAAGCCTGGTCTGAAGTATGGATAGGAAATAAATATTTTAGCAAAGATCTTTTGGTTGCTTTGATGACATTTCTTCCCATCCCAGCTGCATTCCTCCATAGAGATGTAAGAATGAAATGGTGGAGGGATATATTGTCTAATTTTCCCCAAGTAGTTCCTGGAGGGTTTGCATGGTGCAGTTCTGCTCTTCCTGCTCCAGAAGGCTCTGCAGCACATGGAGCTGCAGGGTGTCCAAAGGCAAAGTGGAAGGAGCGTTTTTGGGGCAATTTGTTTGTATTTGTGGGGTTTTGAGGTTTGTTTTGTTGCGGCTTTTTGGATCACTTTGTATTCTCCATGCTTAGTTTCAAATGAGCAATAAAGCCAAGACTCTCCTCACCTGTGGTCATTAAATGTCTTGCAGTATTGTTTGTAAGACCGGGGGATCTTGGTGAAATCCCACCTCGATTAATTATACACTGCTTCCCCAAAGTTCTGCTGGCAGTTGCAGCACTTTCCCCTCCTTTCTGTGTTGTCAATTAGAGTGCTGGCTTGTTAGCTGTTTTATTATCTGTTTCCTTTTTATAGAGGCTCAGAGGTAGGTCTGTCAGTGCTGGAAGAAATACACAGTAAATAGTTTGCATACTGCAACGTCGTGCTTAAGAAAAGCTTTAGGAGATCTGCGGATGAGAATTTGTTTGCTTTCCTCTAAACGAGGGCGAATGCAGCAAGTGCATCAAAGCTCTCTACCATGGAGCCCCTGGCTCCACCTGTGGCAATTTCTTCCTAATATCCAGCCTGCACTTCTGCTGGCGCAGTGTGCGCTGGGTGTCCCTGCTCCTGACCCACACTCACTGCGCTCCTGGCATTGACCCACTCATCCAAGTGCCACTGGGAATGGGACACTTGGTGACACGGTTGTGCCATGTCAAACACAGCTCAGCTCTGGTTGCTTCTCCCACCTTTGACTAATTGCTGACCTGACATCTTTCTGATAGTGACCTTGTTTCAGCGAGTAATTCAAGTATCTTTCAGTGTCAGAAATAATAAGTGCCACAGTGAGATGAACAAGCAGAGCTTAAGTTGAGCACAGATTAATGGGGTTTTAATATTCCTAATTTAATCACTCCTTTCTGTCTGAATGTGTGCAACATGATGTAGCAGCTAATTATTTTTTTAACCATGATGAGGATCTTTCCTAATCATTTTTATATTTAACATGAATGAAGGGAGGGCAGTGATTAATGAGGGAATAAATCTCACGAAACAGAAGCAAGCACATGATCAGTTAAAAATACAGCTGTCTGTTTTTTTTTTTCCCCTCCTCCTTTCCCTGCACAGCTCATAGTTCACCAGCTGCACCTTCTTGGCTCAATAGCTGTCCTCAGCCCTTTGCCCATCCCTGGGTGTCTCTGCTGGCATTGCTGTGTGTGAACATCTCTGGTGAATGCAGTGTTATTTTTCTTTTGTAAAGAAAAGGGGAAAAAAATGCCCCACTAGATCCGTTAATGGTTGGATAAGATGTCTTTTCAAATATTTGTTCCTGACAGGGTGTTTGGAATTGCAGATGAGAAGCAAACCAGCTCTCAGCATCTGTCTGTTGCTACTGTACGTTTCCATTGTGCAGAGCAGAGACAAAGCCAGGCAATTCAGAGCTCAAGTGGATACTCTTGAAAGCTTTTTCCCCCTCTTCCCTCCTGTTTCCCACGTTTAGCTGCTTCTCCTCTCTCTCTAACCTCTATTTTTTCTCCTCTCTCCCAGCCCCCATGGTTTTAGGAGCCCGTCCTCTGCCTGCAATTCCTCCCTTCTCCCCCGCCAGCCCCTTTGTGCAAACAGATCGTATGTTCTAGGGTTTCTCCTGAGCTCTCAGGTTGTAGGACAACTCAGGCTGAAGGTTATGATGGCCAGAGGTGTGGTGTGGGGCTGTTTTCTCCCCATCTGAGTGCAGCACAGTGATTTGTCACCAGCATCGCCCAATGGCTCCAGCCAGTGTCCACAGTCGATGCTCATGGCTCTGATGATAGAGCACTGCTGTGCGTCTTTGCTGCAAACCCAGCATCCTTGTGTTTGTTCACAGAAAGCTCTAACCAGGAACCCAAGGTGCCCCTCCATTAAGTGCAGCTGTGAACGATCTGTTTTGTTTTTCTTTTTGGTGGGGAGATTCTGTACATGGAAGTGATGCGATGGGTTCTTGGCAGTGTGGGGTCACTCTGATGTGTCTCTCCTCCCCAGCTAACGAGCAGAATTTTAATAACTGCTTGAGATGAGTGGTGCCTGAGCAGTGCTGGCAGCTGCCCCCTAACCTCGGCATCTCTGCAGATAGTGAAATTGATCTAATTGGCTAAAAAAGGAAAACGAGGCAGAAATATGACTTCTTTTGCTTAACACCTTGTCACTGCCTGCTTGTTGGGTAAGAGGCAGTGAGCTCAGGGGTCAGCATCCCGGCCACTGGTGACGTGCCTGTGGCTCAGTGGGCACTTGGGATCTGAGATCCCAGCTCTGTGCAAGCAGGTGGGGTCCCAAAGAGCTGAGGGTGATTCAAGTCCAAGTGCATGATTGTTTCCAAACTTTTTTGCATGAGATTTCCTCACCACTTCCCACAGCATTGCAAATAGCAAAGGTGTAATTGCATTTGTCTTCCAAACTGTCTCTCCTTGAGGGCAAGCTCTGCTTTGGCCTTGATTCAATTGCATACTTTTAATCCCAAAGAAAAGGCAGTGCTTAAGTATTCATTACAGAATTGTGTTTTATATGGTCAGTATCCCCCTTCTCATTACTGAATGTCGTCTCTTTTCTCCTGTAGTCCCAGCTCTCTTGCAGCACAATGCTGATACTCCTGAAGCTTCCTCACATCCACATAATAAATAAATAATCACACTTATTCTGCTGTCAAAGCTGAAAGCATGTACAGCTGTTTGCCACAAGATACACTGGGACTGCAAGGTACAACATTTCTTAATTAGACTGACCTGAGGTTGTTGAGGGTTTTTTTCTTTTTCTTTTTTTAAAGCAGCTTCATTAACTCAGGAACTTAATTGCAAATGACTAGACAAGCTCTACTCTTGGTTACTGAGAGAGGTTAGAGCGTTTCTCACTAGGGATTTGATCCGTGGAGACATTTTGCAGCTTGATTTTTGTGAGGAAGGCTTTAGGTGTGCTCAGAGCATCTTAATGCCAGGCTCAGAATTAGCAAAGTAATTAGAGCTTCAAAGCGGAGATGGAGCTGAGCCAGAGCCTGGCCAACCTTTTTGATCTTACAAGCCATGCAGCAGAATCTCCCTAATGTTGGGAGAAATGGGACATTGGTGGGGGAGGGGAGGGGGGTGATCTGGAAGCAGAGCTGAGGGTGATGGGTTTAAAAAAAAGCCTGAAAGCTGAACAGTTCAGAAGATCCCTACAGGAGCTGTGGGAGAGCTGGATAAGGCCAGGCATGGCCATTCCCACGTACTGCTGTCCCTGTCCTGAGGTATGGATGGGACCTCCCTGCTCCCACCCAGGTCCTTGGTGCACCATCCCCAGACACCTCAGCAGATGATGTGATTTGGAAACAGATCTCCGTGAGGAGATGGGAGGGCTCAGGGAGTTGCTGTGGAAGATTTTTGTGTTCTCACCCAGTGCAAGCAGGCGAGGCAGATGGAGCTGGTTTTGAGGAGCACTGTGAATTTTGAAGGGGTTGTGTTGACCAGCAATCTGGTCTTAGTGTATTCTGTATGTATAATACAGATAGAGCGCTGATTAAAAGACCTTGATATTCTACGTGAAGGTCTTCCCTGATATATTTTATCAGCAAGGAGTGAGGTATTGATGTCTGACCTTCGCCACTTCTTCCTGTCTTGTGCTGCCTTTGGTATTTGCATGTGCAAGTAGGGATGGTGTTAGCTGGTGGGTCTTTGTGCTGCTTGTACAGTGAGGCAGCAGCTGTGGTTGAACGCTTTGCAACTCATCGCTTGGAAAAGCACACTGAGAACAACATGAGAAACAACACAAAGCACCACTGTTCCTTGCACTGCCCAGCTCTGTGGGACTTGCTTGGCCCAGAGCAAAGCCAGGCTTTGCTGGGGCACCCATGGGGCAGCAGAATGTCATGGTGACATGGGACATGGCTGCTCCTGCTGCTCCTTGCCCTGAGCAGAGCAGCACTGCCGAGGTGCAGGATGTTGTGGTTGTGCAGTCAGTCACAATGCAGCCAAGCCTTTCATCTCCCAGCGCCAGCTGTAGGCAAATTCTAATTTCTGCAGACTGGTGTGGTACCCATGCAATCTGTGGAGAGGAGAGAGGTTCTGCGACCCTATTCCTTCCCTACCTCAGTCTTTCAGCCCTCTGGACTGTGAGAAGTCTCAGTAATTCCCATCCCTTATTAGTCTGTGCCAAGGAAAGAGAGCTTTGAGCTGCCTGTGTGACACCCGAGTTCCGCTGCACAACAAATCTACTCGAAAGCCTTTGTCGTATATAACCCACTAGAAGCGAGAGCATTCAGGTAAGGAAATGAAGGGCTGCAGGGCTCAGCTGTGCAAGATGGAAATAATTAGGGCATGTTTATCACATGCTCAGACCTACAGAGGTGAAAAGCAAGAGACTGGTTCAGAGAGAGCGGGGTGGGCAGGGAAGGACCTGACACAGGAGTGAATTAAACCTCCCTGAAAGGTCTGTGTTATTTGGGTACACCCCCCTCCCTCCCCGTCCTTGCTCTAATGGAGGTGATCTCTGCCTCGCTGCCCTTTCTTTTCAAGGTCTCAGGACCTGTTGTTTTCAAAAGGTTAAAGCCTAGGAGCTACTGAGGGATGGGGACACTGTTAAAAGGCACTGGTGGAGAATGTTTTAAGATTTCTAGCAGATTCAAGCTGGCAAACATAAAAGGGAGGGGAAAAAACCTTCAAAATGTGAAATCAGCCACTGGTCTCATCACTTTAAAAAATGTATTTTTCTAACATAGATGAGCTCTAGTTCGGAGGCTTCTATTTCTGCTCAGGTTTGGTGTTCTCCCATAGACTTTCTCTCTGTGTTGCAGAGCTGAGTGCACAGGTGACAGCAGCCGCAGTGAAGCTCTGCTGCAGGGCAGTGGTTTCCACTGGCACTGCCCTGCCCTGCGTGACAGCACTGTGGGGAGAGGAAGGCTGAGTTGTGCCTGCATCCTTCCCTCCTTTCTCCCAGTTGAAGAGCGTAGAGTTTGCAGACGTTTTTTTGCAAGCCCTGAATTCAAGTGCTTGGCACATCCTTTACTTGCTCCGTGCTGTTTGTTCTTCAGCCTTATGTTCTTGCCAGACTCAGAGCAAATGCAGCTCTCAGAGTGAGCAGAGCTGGTCCAGGGGCAGAACCCAGTCAGAACTCTTTTGTCCCAGGCTTTGCTATAAATGCCCCGAAGAGTTTGAGGTTTTTCCTCTCT